CCCACATATGTGTGAAATAATATGGTCCTCAGCTTTTTCTGAACTTGACTTCTTTCTTTGCAATTTGGATGCATTTTATTACCTTTTCTTGACTACTTATTCATTTTTAGAACTTCTGGTGCAATGTTTAACAGCACTGGTTAAAAAAAAAGCAGTTATTCCTATCTTGTTCTTTTTCTTAGGGACAACACTTTTAGACTTTCATTATTAAATAGGATATTACCCACGCTTTTTCACAAATGTGCTTCAGTCCCTGAAGTTGTGTTCTATTGCCTGATGAACAGGGTCTGGGGCAGGCTTTTGGAGCTCTGGAAGGTTTTGTGAGCAGTTTAATGAATTAGCTGGGTTGTTGTTGGGATACTCTGAAAAGACTGCTGCTGGGTGACTATCCTGGGCTGTGATTTACCTGTGAGCTGGGGCACTGTTTGCACCCACCATGTCCCCATAGGATGTGAGTCCTGAGAGCCAGGTGACTCTGCTCATGCCTATGGGCTGTGTAACATCATGAAGGGAAGGAATAGAAGCTTGAGGGTGAACAGAAAAAGCTCTAGTATGTATTTGATGCTTATAATGATCTACTCTAGTAACAAGCCTGCTTTGATTATTTCCCCTGTGAACAATCTGAAGGCAAACAATTTTTAAAAAGAGATACTGCAAACATTCATCCCCTTTGTCCTCTGTGCTGTCATTTTCCTTGGATTTTGTTTTAGGTAGAGTCTCAGGGGATGCGAGATACCATTTGATGTTACAAATGACTGATTTTATGCTGAAACTGCCACCATCTGCAATCCACAGAAATATGCCAAAGAAATACAGTAGATATCTTTCAATGATTTACCTTTACTCCCCTTCCAAAATATTGAACTAATGCTGTAATTAACAGGTGACAGGCCCAATTATCCTTTAGTTGAAGAATAAAGTCATTTTATATCACACTGAGTAGTCTGATTACTTATTCATGCCTATTGGAGAGGTAAGCTTCCTAATTAGAAATCAACTTTGCAAGATACCATCAAAGAAGGCTATCTCCTTCTGGATATTTTGATATTTCTTTGCATTTCACAATAACATCGTCATTATCAACATCACACACACACATACACACACACACACACACACACACACACACACACACACTCCTTTCCTCCTTCATTAAGAAGAGAGAATATGATGCCCAGTGGGTGTGGCTCAGCATTTGAGCATCAACTCATGAACCAGGAACCAGGAGGTCAGGGTTTGATTCCCAGTCAGGGCATGTGCCTCGGTTGCAGGCTTGATTCCCCATGGGGCCATGCAGGAGGCAGCAGATCAATGATTCTCTCTGATCATTGATGTTTCTCTCTCTCCTTCTCCCTTCCTCTCTCTAAAATCAATAATATAGATGATAGATAGATAGATAGATAGATAATACACATAGAGGTGACAGAGACTATGTACTATATAGAATATAATGAATGCATCCAAAATCAACCAACAGTAATTTTGGATGTTTTGCATCTGAAATATATGAAGAAGGCCATTACTGTGTTTGGTTACATATGTTTCCTAGAATACTAAAAGTGTTACGTGAACACTTAATAGAATTCTGGAAGAAACACATACTCTTCTTTACAAGATGTACTTTATTTTGTATTATAGAATTAGAAAATTTCATTTACTTGCAAAAACTTTGACTCAAGAACAGATTATGTAGTTTCTCTTTAAGATGGGGCTCAGAAATTATCATTGATAAAGATGTGTCTAAGATCTACATGTAGGGAGAACCTCAGTAATTTTATGACTTAAGGGAGGGAAACATTCTGCAACTTAATGAAATAGGAGTTGGTGTAGATTCTGTTGCGGAGAGAAAGTCACTTTTAATATTTAGGGTTTTAATCTAGAAATGTAAAAAATATGTAAAGTGAAAGTGGAAGTATCAAAACAAATACATTTTAATTTACTCATAGACACTAATGGCTTTGGATGAGACAAGCTTGTCCACTGATAATGATTGACCTCCACCACCAGAAGTGTGACTAATGTATTGGATCATTATTCTCTTCTGCTCTAGATGTTAGGTAGTCATTGCTCTCTCGCTGTGACACATCTATCTCTTGTGTTTGCTGTTTGAGGAGGATGTTGTTGAGGGTAGTTACCAACTACTTATACAATTCTAGCTACAGTGTCTGGTAGGTCTTTAATTGTTTATTTCCATTTTATTATTTAGTGAGTGTCTTTCAATCTTCGGTAAAAGTTTCTACTTTGGAGTTTGTTACTGTTGTTGGGCCAGAGACCCCCCTGGTCTCTGGTCCTGACCGGTGGCGACCCCGAGAGAGAGAGCCAGGAGACCAAATTGATGCAAATGCAAGAGGCTTTATTCGAGCGCTCGGTCTCACAGCCTGCAGCCACCAAGGGGTGAGTGCTAGCTGGAGCCCCGAACAAGGGGAAGGGTACAGCTTTTAAAGGCAAAAACCACACGCAGGTGGTTAAAAAATTTTCCATTCTATTCTAGGTTATGCAACGGTTATATCCTGTAGCTATCATTTGCTCAAACCCGCAAGATTAGCCAAGCAGATAGGTTGTTTTGCAACCCAGGACCAAGAGCATTCTGCGGTTAAGGCGTTAGGTTCTTGGAACTGGGGCAGGGTAGGTTGACGGTGGGGGGGCGTTTTGGGAGGTTCAGTCTAACATTCCCCCCTTTTGTTTTGGAGAGTCTGAATCATCGGACTTAAAGGGTGGTCTCGGTGTCTAGGGGTTGGTATTGTTGCTGAAGCACTAGCATGTGGACTGACTGAATCCTGTCTCTGACGAAAGAGACCAGGCGGTTTAGGATGCACGGCCCAATGGTAAGTAAGAGAATTAAGATTACCAAGGGGCCCAGAAGCGAGGATAGGAGAGTAGTTAATCATGGAGCACTATCAAATTATTGTTCGAACCAGCCTTTTTTGCTTTCTTTTTTTTTTTGTCTTGTTTTTAATTTTTCTCTGAGTTTAGTTATGGAGTCTTTTATTAAGTCCGAGTGGTCTGCATAAAAGCAGCATTGTTTTTTGAGTGTAGCACATAAACCTCCTTCCTTCAGAAAGAGGAGGTCGAGCCCCCGCCTGTTTTGGAGGACTACCTCTGATAAGGAAGTTAGGGATTTTTCTAGTTTGGTGATGGATTGCTCTATATTTTTTAAGTCTTCATTAATGGCTATTTTTAGTTCTTCCGTATACCTAGGGGCCTGGATCAATGCAGCTGCCCCTGTTCCCACTCCGGTTGCCACTCCTAGTCCTAGAAGAGCGGCAAGTGAGAGGGAGACTAGCTCCCTCTTACTTCTTAATGGCAGGCCGAGGCTCGAGTCGAATTTTCCTTCAAAGGCCTCTGCTTGATAATACGTGATTCGGGGAACTAATTGGACTAGAATACAATAGTCTGTTAGCGGGTTGAAGACCTGGGTGGCTAGGCAGGGTGTAAGCCCAGTATTGCAGGCCCACCATCCTCCTGTGGGGGGTACTAAGTAGAAAGCTCCTATCGAGGGAGGGGTCTTCAGGGTGTTGTTACAGAAAATAGTCCGGTCTTTAGGTACCCTTCCTAAGCAAGTTCCTTGTCCAGAGAGTTCAGTCAGAGTCAAGTTCCCCTCTGTCCCTCAAGAGCAATGGCCGTGGTTGGTGGTGTTGTTGTAATTACCTGAGAAAGCTATTCTTTCGTAGTAGGGAGGTCCAGCAGATAGGCAGAGCCAGCAACCTTCAGTCAGGTCTGGTGCTGATCTATTCAGAGTATTATATACTCCCTCTACTAGGCCTAACAGTCTCTGTGCCTGGGTATTTTCGAGAGTTGGGGGTGAAATTATTGGCGTTGTCTCTAAAGGCGTGGACGAGGAGGGGCCTGGGCTAGGAGTAGGGGTTATTATTTTCTCTCGAATCTCTCGCCCAGAGAGGACTTGATTGGGTCCTATTACAGGGGAAGGTTGGTAACCACCAATTCCCAACCGAATCCAGAAAAGAAGACCATCATCATGGCTGTTTTTATATAATCTAAGCCCCCATTTCTTCCTTGCCGTCCAATGGTATACTGCTGCTGCCTTCCCAGCTGAAGTGAAGGAGATGTTTAAGATGTTTATCTATCCCCTAGCCTGGCTGTTCTGGGTTCGATTTCGTCCCACTTGAATTAAATCCTACTGGGCTGGGTTCCTGATCCAGTAGGCCGTACCTGAGGTCTCGCATCCCCATTCTGCACAAAAGTACTCCCGCTCCCCTCTACATTGAGAATTACCCGGGGCTCGGGGAGGGGAATCGAGCCCTGACCCCCCTAGTCGCTGTCCTCATGGAGGGCCAGAACCGGATCTTTCTTGGGCATCTGGGGGCATTTTTTCTTCCAGTGTTTTTTTTCTTTGCAGTAGGCACATTGGTCTCAGTCTAACGGAGGTCGATTGCCGCCCTGGCGTTTCTTTTTCTGTCCTTCCTGTTTCTTTTTCTGATCTGATTTCTCTCCTACCGCTGCGGCCAGGATACGAGTCAGTCGCTTCTCTTCTCGCTTCTCTCTCTGTTTCTCTTGCTCCTGTCTTTCCTTTTCCTGCCTCTGCTCCTTTTCCTCTTCTGTCTTTCTTTTATGATAAACTTTCTCGGCCTCTTTAACGAGGTCCTTGAGAGCTAAATCCTGTAACCCGTCCATCCTCTGTAATTTCCTCCTGATATCCGGGGCTGACTGACCAATGAAAGCCATTGCCACCGATGCACTATGACCCTCAGACGTGGGGTCAAAAGGGGTGTATCGGCGATAGGCTTCCATTAACCTTTCTAGGAACACTGCCGGAGGTTCCGTGGCTCCCTGTATAACTTCCCTCACCTTGGCCAAATTAGTGGGGCGACGGGCAGCCCCTCGGAGACCTGCCATTAGAGTCTGGCGGTAGACTATCAGTCGCTCCCTGCCTTCTGCAGTGTTAAAATCCCAATCAGGGCGGGCTAAGGGAAAGGCAGAATCTATGAGATGGGGGAGTTGTGTCGGGCGCCCATCCGGGCCCCGAACATTCTTCTTAGCTTCTAGGAGAATTCTCTCTCTTTCCTCTGTAGTAAAGAGGGTCTGGAGAAGTTGCTGACAATCATCCCAAGTGGGTTGATGAGAAAACATGAGGGACTCAACCAGAGCGGTGAGTTTAGACGGGTCCTCAGAGAACGGAGGGTGGTTAGTTTTCCAGTTATACAGATCAGAGGAGGAGAAGGGCCAATACTGAAGGGAGGGAGAACCGGGGTGCCGTCGTCGAGAGGCGGCGGCGGCGGGCCGAGAGGGCGGAGGGGACAGGTGACCGTAGAATCGGGCGAACAAGGAGGCTGGGTCCTTCGACTACGCGTGTGCTGCGAGGGACCACCTTGGGCAGCCTGGACAGGTGGAGGGGCCGGGGGAGTGGAGGGAACTGGGGGCAGAGAAGGAGGATAGGGAGGAGGCGGGTCGAGAAGGAGAAGGTCAGTTTGGGAGTCGCGCAGGGGCGCCTTCTGCGGGACTCCACGAACCTGTGAAACAAGAACCTGAGACTGGTTAGATGGCGGGAGGAAGGGCCGGACCCACGAAGGAGGTCGCTGGGCCAGGTCCTGCCAGACAAGAATATAAGGTTGTTGATCGGGGTGACCAGTCCGGGACTCGAAAACTCGGGAGAGAACCTGGGAAATCAAATTTAAATCAAAAGAACCATCGACCGGCCAACCAACACCAAAAGTGGGCCACTCGGCTGAACAGAAAGTCTGCCAGGGACCCTTTTTCACATTTACCGAAAGATCGAAACCTCGTCCTCGGACCTCTTTCCAATGATCAAGAGTCGCACTCAGCGGAGTCGACTTCCCCTGACCCATGTCACTGAACAAAAAACCAAAACAAATAATGACAGAAATGAAACCACAGACAACTATAAAACCGGGCCGCGGCAATCCTCGGTCCAACCACATTGTGACAGGCGACGGAGTCATATAAAACCTGACCAGAACAGATGGAAATGATCTCAGCTAGAGATCAATTTCCCCGACCCCGGGACGTCTCCCGGGGACAACGGTTTTTGAGAGCCAGACCCCCTGTCTGACCCAAAGACTGTCCTCTCTCACGACAGAGACAGTCCCGTTGGAACCAGAATAAACAACCTGACCAGAACAGACGGAGGCGATCTCTGACAGAGATCAATCTCCCCAACCCCGGGACGTCTCCCGGGGACAACGGTTTTTGAGAGCCAGACCCCCTGTCTGACCCAAAGACTGTCCTCTCTCACGACAGAGACAGTCCCGTTGGAACCAGAATAAAAACCGAAACCAGTCGCCGCACACAGGGACATAACACAAAGACAGACAGTCGGCCGACACAAAAACTCACCTCCAAGATGGTCTTGGTCGTCTCTGTGGCCGCCACAGATCCCGGACGAGCCCCCAAATGTTGGGCCAGAGACCCCCCTGGTCTCTGGTCCTGACCGGTGGCGACCCCGAGAGAGAGAGCCAGGAGACCAAATTGATGCAAATGCAAGAGGCTTTATTCGAGCGCTCGGTCTCACAGCCTGCAGCCACCAAGGGGTGAGTGCTAGCTGGAGCCCCGAACAAGGGGAAGGGTACAGCTTTTAAAGGCAAAAACCACACGCAGGTGGTTAAAAAATTTTCCATTCTATTCTAGGTTATGCAACGGTTATATCCTGTAGCTATCATTTGCTCAAACCCGCAAGATTAGCCAAGCAGATAGGTTGTTTTGCAACCCAGGACCAAGAGCATTCTGCGGTTAAGGCGTTAGGTTCTTGGAACTGGGGCAGGGTAGGTTGACGAGGGGGGGGTTTTGGGAGGTTCAGTCTAACACTGTCATCAACTCTGACACTTGCATTCCTTGTTGGCCAAACTCTACAGTCCTAAACCTCCTTGTTATATATTACAGAGGTTTGGTTCTTATTGTACTTTATACCATTCTTCAGCTTTACCTTGCTGTTGGCCTATAGAGGTCAGAGTATATTTAAGGCATCTTTTCTTCCTGGTCTGCTGCACACACCACAGTAGTTTGGTCTAGATGCAATGAGATTTGTGATTATAGTGCAGGCATTACACTGTACTGTGTACCATGTAACTCACTAATTTACCTCCTTACACTCACTACAAGGAAGCTGAGGAACAAACTCAACATTCATTTCTCACAAGCATCTAGCACTTTGTGGCAGTCCTTTTTGGAATGAGGAGGTATAGTGATTAAATAATTAGGTAAGGCTTGTGGTGTCATGAGCTATGTCTTTCTGTCCTTCATACTTTGGGGCCATTGCTAAACCCATTAATAATATTCCCTCTCTTATCCCAATATACCAAATGAAGCAAATGTGGGTGAATATAGCTGCTGTGATTTGTCTATTTGAGAAATTTACTATGTTTTTAAATTGTGATTGGATGATATCCTGCTCTCGTGGTTGCTTGCTTTCCTAGGTGCTATTTTACTCAGCTGGGATATTTGAGAAATATCCCAAGATGGCTGATTGGTCTTACTTGTTGTTGACCATCCAATGATTTATTTCCTATTTTCTCTCCTTTCTACCATTTTGAATCATGACAACATTCTTCCATCACTGTCTTTGAACTTACGAGTAGCTTGTTTGTTTTTCTGCAAAAACTCAGTGCTGGTATTCCTGGTGGGTTTACTCTCAGTAAATCAGCCAGGAGAAGATTTATGGTGGGAGGCACTCCTGAATGGTGCCATGGGCTGAAGTAGCCGAATTTTCTTATTGAGCTGTAGTGCTGGCCATAACAATGCTTCAGGTTTGAGTCATCCTAAGTGTGACACTCTTGTCCATAGTTGGTAGTAGGCATTGTTCGTTAAATAGATACTTTGTTCATGGCACCCTGGAGATACCCAAATGTAGGTCACTGGCTATCCATGGAGGATGGTCTATAGTGGTGCCCAAAAATATAATGACTTTTCAGTTAGAGGAGACCAAATGCATGCACTTCTATAGGAGAATATGACAGTATTTGAGAGTGGTTTTTTTTTTTTTTTTCTTCTAATTTAATTGATGCTTTCCCCAAAACTGCTTGGAATAGTCTTCCTGATACAATAGTTTCAGTCAGGGGGTTGTTTTAGTATTTAACATGTGTAGTATCTCCATAAATGGCATATAGTAGATGTTTAAAAAAAAAAAGATGGACTAGGGATTTTAATTTGCAAAGCTGTCATAGTGGTCTTCAGATGTCTGATGGATTTGTCTATGGGATATAAATTAGACTTGTTGTGTATCTTGCTAGAGACTTAGTCCAGAACAGTGAATGGGATTTGCATATGAAAGTGTTCAGTTAAAAATAAGAAATGCTATAATTTATGATTTAGTTGTATCTTCCAACAATAGCAGACATCTCTTATTCACTGTTGTGTTCCTAGTCTCTAGCAAAGTGCTAGCCAGAGAGTAGAAATTTAATACATTTTTGAATTAAGGCATAAGTGATGAATAATTAGATTTTTCACATACATGGAAGTAGTGAGTTTTCCATTATCAGAAACATTGTAGCATTGCCTGAGTGACTAAACACTGTAAGCCTTATAGCAGAGATTCAGGAAAAGAGGCTGATTAACTAGATAACATTAAATGATTATTCTTATCATGGAAAAGTATGGTAGTTAGTGTTCTCCAGAAGAGCAGAACTCAGAGTATACTAGATATGTGAGGAGATTTATTATAGAAATTGACTCATGTGACTATGGAACCTGAGATGTCCCATGATCTGCCATCTGGAAGCTAGAGACTCAAAAAGGCTGGTGGTATAATTCAGCCTGAGTCCAAAGTCCTGAGAACCAGGGGCTCTGATGTCTGTGGGCAGGAAAGATTGATGTCCCAGCTCAAGGAGAGAGAGACAGAGAGAGAGAGAGAGACAGAGAGATATCCTACCACCCCCTTTTTGTTCCATTAGGGTCCTCAAAAGGATGATGCCCTGACACATTGTTAGGGTGGATCTCTATAGGACTCTCTTTCATGGCCCACGTAGAAAGAGTTCCAATTCAGGGTTCAGGTTCTGGAGAAGGGCCGCACACAAATGAAAAGAGACTTGAAGAAATTCAATTTGGCAATTTGGGGGGCCAGGCGGTAGTCCAACTCTAGTGGGAGAACTACTCCTGCTCTGGCCCTGCCATCCCCTTTTATTGAGGCTTTGGGGAAAACATCTTAAGCAACATAAACAGAAATTTACATGTAGCCCTTAGGCAGGAAATAACAGAAACTTGTAGATTCTGCTTCAGCTAACAAAATCTCAACTAAAGGTTAGAGCAATTAAGGTTGTTGACCAGCCTTCCTGGCTTCCTGTCAACATCTCTTTTTCAGTGAAACTGATTTGGTTTCCAGCAGAACTCCTTAACTCAGACCACCAATTCAAATGCTAATCTCTTCTGGAAACACCCTCACAGATACACCTTGTAATAATTTTCTCCCAGCCATCTGGGCATTCCTCAGCCTAGTAAACTTGACACATAAAATGACACATCACAGAACTCTTAAAGGAGTCATTCTAGGATTCACTTGAATTCTTTTAGATTGGAGCATATATTTTATTTATGTGTAACAGTTCCTGAACATAATTTTTAGAGAAATATTCTTCCACTAACTGTAAAGTATTCTACAAGGTAGAAATCATGATTCATTGGTCCATGGTAAGTAAAGAGAGCTGGGTGCTCCCTCCTGGGCAGAGAGAAAAAGATCTTACACCGAAGAAATCAAGTGGTTATTTTTCTCTTCACAGATTATGTCAGGATAGTTTTCCATGTTTCCTGGATTTCAGTGTTGGAAGCATCTCATTTGCCCTGAGTAGGGTAACACAGTATAATTTTGTTGGCTGATTATAGAACTTCTCCAGGGCATTCAGGCCACACTAAGGTCCCTAGAACTCATGCTATCAGATGCCCCTTAAGTGTTGTCTCTAAGAGTCCTGTGTTGCTTTGATATGTGTGTGTGTGTGTGTGTGTGTGTGTGTGTGTGTGTGTGTGTACATCTGTGAGTACACATGCTGATTCCCATGAGAGCAATCATGGCTGTGTCATTGGTACTTAATGGAGACTTTTTTGGGGGGCAAAATCATGTCAACTGGAATGCCTTTGGTGGTGGAAATGATTCTGCTGTTGGAGTATAGTGCTGGAGCAGCTGCAGAACTGGCTTCTTTCTTTAGGGCAGCTCTTAAACAGCACCTGACTGAGCTTCTTAAGATCAGCCTGGGACCACAGGGTGTCATCTCAGTGTTTACCTGCTCACTTCCATCTCTCGTTTCTCAGCTGGTAGGCAGAAATGCATATTTATGTTTTCATTTATCCTTATTTAAATTTTTTTCTTGCCTATTGGGACAAATTGGAATAGCAACTTTCAGTCAGTGGTGAGCACAGAATACTAAAAAATCTTCAAAAAGAAAAACACATAAAGCACTGCACAGGTGAAGTTTTATAATTTCCCTATAAGAACATTTGTAGCTAAATTTCACAAAATCTCAGACAGGAAAAGAGAGAGATTGAAAAATAATAACAATTAATGTATATGCAGTATATTCAATCATCAACTCATGCCAGAGTAGAATTAAATTATTATTTGACAGAAGGGGAAACCAAGGTATAGTGTGGTCGAATGATTTGTATAAGATCACATGATAAATTCGTCCTTAGGCTGAGAATATGGCTCTTACAGGTTTTTTGGGGGAGGTTGTTATGGAACATTTCAGGATTCCTATGAAAGCTGTGAATGAAAAAGAGAAAGAGAGAGGGGGGGATCTGTCTGCCCATGTGGTTACTTACATTTAATTTCAGGTGTTTCCTAGGCCCCTCAAGTCCATCCATGGGATAAGAACCCTTTCTCACCTGAGGGTCATTTTTCCAGTATCCTGACCACCAGGTAAATAAATTATTTAAAAGGCTCGTCAGAGAAAGGATGAAAAGCCAGGTGATGTGTATAGTTTTTGAAAGCCAGTGGTTCAGTATCTTGCACACAGCATTCTGTGAATAGGTAACATTGCTATGCTTTTTTTTTGCACAGTTAGTCTGGAAAGAGAAGTTCTATACCGTTAGTCTAGAATGAGAAGTTCTACACTGTTAGTCTGGAATGAGAAATAACTTCCATAAGGCTGATATTGTAGGGCCTGGGCTCCTGGATCCAATCAGTAGCCCAAGGCATGG